AAGTGAAGTATGTCAAACAGAGAAAGACAAATATCATGATATCACTTATATGTGGAATCCAAAATATGATACAAATGAACTTATTGACAAAACAGAGACAGACTCATAGATGCAGAAAAAAAACTTATGATTACCAAAGATGAAGGGGGGGAATAAATTAGGAGATTGGGATTAACATATACACACTACTATATATGAAACAGATAACTAATAAGGACCTACTGTATAGCACAGGGAATTCTACTCAATGCTCTGTAATAACCTATATGGGAAAAGAATCTTAAAAAGAATGTATATATGTATATGTATAACTGATTCACTTTGCTGTACACCTGAAACTAACACAACATTGTAAATCAACTATATCCAGTAAAAATAAAATAAATTAAATTAAATATGATACAAATGAACTTACTGACAAAACAGAAACAGACTCACAGACATAGAAAACAAACTTACGGTTACTAAAGGGAAAAGGGGAGGAGGGATAAATTAGGAGTCTGGTATTAGCAGGTACAAACTACTATATATAAAACAGATAAACAACAAGGTCCTACTGTATAGCATAGGGAACTATATTCAATATCGTGTAATAAACTATAATGGAATATATGTCTGTGTGTGTGTATATATACATAAAACTGAATCATTCTGCTGTACACCAGAAACGAACACAACACTGGAAATTAACTATACTTCAAGAGAAAAAAAAATGTGTTTTATTGCCCAGAATGTGGTCTATCTTGAACGTTGCATGAGCTTGAGAAGAAATGTGTATTCTGTTGTTGTTAAGTGAAGCAGTCTATAGGTGTCAATTATATCCAATTGATTGATGGTGTTACTGAGTTCAATTAGGTTCTTACTGATTTCCTGCCCGCTGGATTTGTCCATTTCTGACAAAGAGGTATTGCAGTCTCCAACTATGACAGTGGATTCATCTAGTTCTCTTTGCAATTTTATAATTTTCGCTTCACATAGTTTGAGGCTCTATTGTTAGGTATATATACACATTAAGAATTTTTATGTCTTCTTGGAGAACTGACCCCTTTATCATTATGTAATGCCTTCTTTATCAGTGATAACTTTCCTTGCTTTGAAGCCTGCTTTGTCTGAAATTAATACAGCTACTCCTACTTTCTGCTGACTAGTGTTACCATAGTATATTTTTCTCCATTTACTTTTAATTTATATGTGTCTTTATAATTAAAATGGGTTTCCTGAAGACAACAGACAGTTGAGTCTTGTTTTCTGATCCAATCTCTGTCTTTTAATTGGTACATTAAGACCACGGATGTTCAAGGTGATTACTGATATATCTGGAGTAATACGTACCATATACATTACTGTTTTCTATTTGTTGCCCTTATTCTTTGTGCCTATTTTTATCTTCTACTCTTTTTATGCCTTTTGTGGTTTTAATTGAGCATTTTACGATTCCACTTTCTTTCCTTTTTCAGCATACTGGTTATACTTTTTAAACTTTTCTTAGTGGTTGCCCTGTATTCACCTCTCTCTCCAGCCTTGCTGGGAGCGGTTTGCCTGTGTGCTCCCCTCTCTTATAGAGCAAAGAAGAGTTGAATTTTCAGTCTGTTTGTGTTTCACTTGTTAGGTCACAGTGGCAACTTCCAAGCTCCTAAACACGAAGAACAGGAAACCTCAAGCTACAGAACTTTTTAAAATACATTGATAACTAGACCAATCTCATACAGGAAGCCTTTAGGTTAAGCATTTGACTCAAGTCCTGGCAATCTGACTAGGCCTTGGCCATGTGTAGCTCTAAACTGCTCAAAACAAAACAGTTTGCATTCTTCTACAACATGCCTTGGAATTAATTAAATCTTAAGATTTTCTAGTTGGAAGGGATTCCATGCTCTAACATGGCATTTCACACAGACCTCTCTTTTAGAACATGACATATTATAATATGTTGTTTTAGTTCTTTCTCACGTTATAGGCTGAGAGCATAAAGTCTATATTCATCTTATATCCAGTTTACACAGAACAGTTTGTGGGCCATAATATGAACATACTGCTTATTGAATGAATAATTTAATAATAAAAGACTCTAGACTCCTCTTCTTCCACCCCCCCCCACCATGAAGGAATTCCAATACTTAATCTTGGTTAAGTCATAAATAGTATAAAAATTAAGGAAAAATAATGCTAAAGACATTTATTTTTCAAGCTTGGAAATGCCCTCTAAGCTCTGCAGATGAGAGACATACAAACCCTTGATCACTGAGCCTCTCTGAAGCCTCAGTTTCTACATCTGTAAAAGAGGATAATAATAATCAATATAAACTATGAGATTATGAATATAAATCTCCCATGTTATAATACAGACATATAGTAGACACTCAACAAATTATTATTTTCATTTCATTATTATCGGCATCATCATCAATACTGTTAAACCAACACCTAAATTTCAGCACACAGCAGTCATCTGCTTTGGAAGCTCCTTCAGCCTGACCTTGTTTATTGAGTAAAGGTAAACAAGGTAAAAGTAAAGGTAAACCCTGACTTGGTAAGCCATCAGGGTTGGACATTATTCTCTGATATTACAGCACAGAAATAATATGCTATAGTAAGAAGGTCTAAACAACCTATTCAAAGTCAAATATCTGAAAGACTTGAGAGTCAGAATAACAAAAAAGGTGCAGACAGAGGTTAGTCAGCTAACAACTAACTCAAAGGACAGCAGATAACTACTAACAAACTACGGAAGCCTACAGAACATGAACAGCACCTATCACCTTCAACCTAATAAACCCCTTTGTCGCCTGGAGGACTTTTTCTATTTCTCTTTCCCTTCCCCTTATTTTCCTTCCCTTTTCTTTATCCATCTCCACGCTGATACTCTCTACTATTTCTTCTCTGAGTCTCTCTCTTCTCTGTTTTTACCAACTACAATACAGAATTAAACCTTATCCTTAGTATTTATTATACTTTTCAGTAAAATAACGAACACAGGTTTTAAAGAAAGAAAATCAGGACTCAATTCCAGTTCTAATAATTAGCTATGTAACTTGGGTAAATTAATTAAATACTTCAGTTTGCTCAAATGGAAAACAGGGATAATAATAGCATCTTCACATGGTTATAGTAAGAAGTAAATTAAATTTGTAAATTATCTAGTCTAAAACCTGACACACAACAGGTGTTCCATAAAGTTAATGTTTTTCTCAATTTCTCTAGGAAAAAATTATCTAATCCTTGATTATGTCTTCCACTGTAGCTCTTAACAGAAAAGGAGACCCTCCCCTTCCTTGTACATATTTCCACCTATTTTATGAATACAGATGAATCCATCCATTACAGATATGGACAATGTCTCTAACTACAGAATTTTACACTGCACTGATATAAACACCCCTTACTCTGGGCCGTCTCCTTGATTTTAAAAATAAGTTGGAACAGAAAAATATAAATAAACCCTGGAAACACAAAGTAATTAGTGATAATTATAAGCTATGCATTTAAGAGGCACTTAAACATTACATATAAAACAATATATGAAAGATATAACACTATACTTTTTAAATTGGCTTGAAACTGCTTCAGTAGTTTGGGCCATGTGAGAAAATAATGAACTACTTCATAGGAACAGTTCCCACATTAAGGAGTCAATACAGTATTAGGTCAAGTTGCCAGTTGCCTCTTCCAACTCATTCTAACTCCGTTTAACCTCTTATCTAGAGCCTGACTCTATTCTCAAGTGAATTCCACACTGGCATCCAGTAGGTGTTTGTAAAAGTAAAACTATTTTAGAGAAGAGGCATTAGGAATCAGAACAGACTACCCAAATTTTCCTGCACCCAGCTCAGACAGCCATCAGACAAAAGAATCAAAAGGAAAGCTACGCGTCGTCACTGTGTGACACCTGAAGCTACAGCCAAGAAGACAGTGTGCAGAGGCTGGTGCAGCTCAGTGCAACCTCTTCAACTGCAAACCCCAAACCACAGCACAGGCAACGCTGGGTGAACCAGAACCAAGTCGGTGTTGGGGGAGGGGGGTCAGGAAGCCCTACAGAAAACAGTGTATCACATGAGAATGACTACAAATGGGAGCAAGGGATTAGGAGTTACTGGGTAGGGGAAAAGCCATTATTCTATTCAAGTACAAGTTCAGTACCAGCAAGAGCTAAAAAGATTAAGTAGACAAAATTTCTTTAGGGAGACTAAAACAAAGACAGTATTAAATTAAAAACTGGGGTTTCCCTGGTGGCACAGTGGTGAAGAATCCACCTGCCAATTCAGGGGACATGGGCTCGAGCCCTGGTCCGGGAAGATCCCACGTGCCACGGAGCAACTAAGCCTGTGCGCCACAACTACTGAGCCTGCGCTCTAGAGCCCGCGAGCCACAACTACTGAGCCTGTGAGCCACAACTACTGAAGCCCACGCACCTAGAGCCGTGCTCCACAACAAGAGAAGCCACCGCAATGAGAAGCCCGCACACTGCAACAAAGAGTAAGCCCCGCTCGCCACAACTAGAAAAAGTCCGTGCGCAGCAACGAAGACCCAACGCAGCCAAAAAAATTAATTAATTAATTATTTTTTTTAATTAAAAGAATTTAAAAATAAAAACAAAATCCAAGGAAAAGGTAAAGATGAATGCTTTAAGGTCATTAAAAAACCAACTGCAGTAGCAAGCCCTAAGGCAGTAACTGGCAAATGGGAGTGGCAATAAAGTATAATAATTTAAAAAGAACAACATTCGAGAACCAGAAGTACTGGTATGGTTTGGGTTTTTATTGAAGAATAGCATGTTTTCCTTGAGTTCATAAAAGGATGTGCCATGGCATGCAGTTTTTAAAACACTTCAAAGTTCTCAGTCTAGAGAAACAAAAGTGGTAAGCAGTTTCTAAGCCTAAGTCCCAGGAACGCTCAGTTTACTATCACTGCCCATCTCCGAAGAATATGAGCGCAGCCACAGGAAAACCCAATAACTGATCTGCAGCAGGCTTTTTCTGGGGGTAGGCTAGAGTGACCATACTTACTGGAGTCCTCCCACTGGAATAAATGTAGCTTCCACGCAGAATAATACAAAAATCCCAGTACCAGAAAAAGGCAGAGGGCTAGCAGCAGATTGCGTACAAATACCAAGAGTCCCATCTTCACATGATTTACGATTTCCTACATGACCTAAAAAAAAAAAAACCAAAAAACAATTTAGGTCTTAACTGATAAAGCAATCATCTTATTGATATACTCTACCTTAAAATAAGTATTTATAGGAGAATTTCCAAATGAAGAACCACCTAGAATTACCACTGAGTTGATGACCTGGCATCCTCCAACCTGCTCAAGCCCGGCTCAAAGAACAGCTTCACCATCAGTCAGCATCCAAGCCAGAAATCAGCAGTCATCCTTGTGTCCCTCCTCTTGCTCATTCCTAACACCCAATCAATGACCAAACTCTGGCAAGTCTAACCTCCCAAATAAATCTCAAATCACACCCCCTTCCCACCATCACTACCCTAGCCCATGCCGCCACTGTATTCCCACAAGTTTCCACGCCTCCAAATTTGCACTCTCCCAAATCCAGCTTCCACACAGCACACGAACAGTCTGTTAATAACACAGAGTCTAACATTCCCTCCCTGCTTCAACCCCTTTGTATTAGTATTCTACTGCTGCTCTAACAAATTATCACAAACTCAGCAGCCTGAAACCACTCAAATTTATTATCTCAGAGCTCTGAAGGCCAAAATTCCAGCTATAGTGTGGCTCAGCAGGGTCCTCTGCATAAGGTGTCACAAGGCCAAAACCAGGGGCTGAGCAGGGCCGCATTCCTTTCTGGAGACTCTGGAGATGAACATACTTCCAAGTTCCTTCAGGCTGTAGGCTGAATTCAGTTTCTTGCAGCTGTAGGGCCCAAGTCCCTGTCTCCTTGCTGGTTATCAGACAGTGTTTGCTCCTGTTTTCCATGTGGTACATTTCAGTAGTGGTGGGTTAAGTCCCTCTTACTCTGATCTCACCAACTTCCCCTTCTACCACATCTTGATTCTGTTTCCAGCCGGAAAAACTTCCTTGCTTTTCAGGTTCATGCAATTAGATTGGGCCCACTTGAATAATCCAGGATAACCTCCCTACTTTAAGGTCTGTAGCCTTAATTTCACGTGCAAAGTCCCTTTTGCCATGTAAAGTAACACGTTTACAGATTCTAAGGATTAGCGTGTGGACATCTTTGGTTGTTGTTTTTTCTTCTTTTCTTTTTGGCCACGCCGTGCAGCATGCAGGATCTTAGCTCCCTGACCAGGGATCGAACCCACGCCCCCCTACAGTGGAAGCACGCAGTCCTAACCACTGGACCGCCAGGGAATTCCCACATGTGGACATCTTTGAGGGACCATTCTGCCTAACAGACCTTTCATTAAATTCTCAATTCCTTTAAAATAAATTAATTGCTCCTTAGAGTCTAGTAGCTTCTCATTGCACCCCTATTTACTCTCCAACCATCTCCTGCTTCTCCCAACCTCATTTGTATCCTATGCTCTAGCCCCTCTTCTTTCTAATCACTGAACATTTCTCTCCTCAAGGTCTGTCTGGAATACATTCTCCACCACCTATTTCACCTGCTGCACGTTCTTTGATACTCACCTTAAATGCAGCATCAGCCAAGAAGACTTCCTAGGAGCACCCTTCCCAAACCCCACTCAGCTATCTTAGTCATGAAATAATCTATGAGAGATATTATAAATATTATAACCTATGTATACATATTATAAATGAAGTGATAAAGAGTTAGCACTTGCAGACTATATAATTGTCCACCTAGAAAAGCCAAGAGAATCAACCGAAAAATCATTAGAACCAATAGAAAATTCAATAAAGTAGGTGATTATATGATTTACTTACAAAAATCAACAGCTTCTTAAAAACTATACCAGCGATAACCAATTAAAAACTGTAAGGGGGAAAAATTCCACTCATGATGGCAACAAAATCTATAAAATACCTAAAACTAAACTTCGGAAGAAATGAACAAGATTTTCACCAAAGGACATAAAAGATCCAAATAAATAAACAGACATAACAGGTTCCCAAGTGAGAAGATTCAATATTGGAAACATGTCAGTTCTCCTGAAATGTCAGTTCTCTATAAATTTAGTCAAAACCCATGATTTTTTAAAACTTAGATCTAATGTTAATCTGAAGAGTTCATGCCCAAGAAGAATGAAGAAATTTTTTTAACGAACGACAATGAGGGATTTCCTGGTGGCACAGTGGTTAAGAATCCGCCTGCCAATACAGGGGACATGGGTTCGAGCCCTGGTCCGGGAAGATCCCACATGCTGTGGAGCAACTAAGCCTGTGTGCCACCACAACTACTGAGCCTGTGCTCTAGAGCCCATGAGCCACAACTACTGAGCCCGTGTGCCACAACTGCTGAAGCCCGTGCGCCTAAAGCCCGTGCTCCGCAACAAGAGAAGCCACCGCAACGAGAAGCCCGCATACCTCAATGAAGAGTAGTCTCCGCTCACCGCAGCTAGAGAAAGCCCGCGTGCAGCAACAAAGACCCAGTGCAGGAAAAATAAATAAATAAAATAAATAAATTTATTTTTCAAAAAAAGCTCCCACTGTATAGCACAGGGAACTGTATTCAATATCCTAATAAACCATAATGGAAAAGAATATGAAAAAGAATATATAAGCATATATTGGGTTGGCCAAAAAGTTATAGGAAACCCAAACGAACTTTTTGGCCAACCCAGTATATAATACATATATATCTGAATCACTTTGCTGTACACCAGAAACTAAGAAATTATAAATCAACTATACTTCGATTTAAAAAAATCAAATAACGCATTATAGAAATGTAAATTGGTAGACTCTTTTGGGAGGAATTTGGAAGTACAGGTATCCCCTGCTTTTTGAAAGCTCGCTTTACACCACTTCGCTTCTATGAAAGACCTAAATGAAACAAACCCAAAGAAGATTTTCACTTTTATCAGAAGAGGTGAAAATAGCTTTCAGCATGTTTTGCATCCAGCGGTTATAGAGGCAGCGGGCACCCAGAGCAGCGAGAGTAGCACCACCAACCTCCTTTCCCAGGAAGTACACTCGGCATTTCTGCATCAAACCACCATAGATAGCTTTGAATTCTATCTGTGAGCATCTGTGCTTTATCTTGATTTATTTTGTGCATCTGTTAGCAAGATGTGTCCTAAGGTATCAGAAAAGCCTAAGAGAACTTGTAAGGGTGTTGTGCTCAGCATAAAAATGGACGTAATCAAGCATTTAGATTGTAGTGAACAAAATAAAGATGCGCTTGCTTCGAACGTTCCTGTGTCCACCATTCAAACTATTTACACTCAGAGGGAAAGAATATTGAAAGCTGCCGAAGTTACTATTGGTTCTGCTCGTAGGAAAGGGGTCTCTCTTAACTGGCATCCAGTAATGGATAAATTGGAAAGTCTGCTGCTTGAGTGGATTGATGGGTGTACAAAGCGCAGTGTTGCATTAAGTTATCTTATACTTAAGGAGAAATCAGTCTTTTCAAAAAGCTGAAACGGAAAGCACTGGATGGGGAATTCTCTGGTGGTCCAGTGGTTAGGACTCCATGCTCTCACTGCTGAGGGCCCAGGTTCAATCCTTGGTTAGGGAACCGAAATTCCACAAGCTGCACAGCGTGGCCAAAAAAAAAAAAAGAAAGAAAGAAAGCACTGGACAATGGTAATGAAAGTGTTACGAGAGTCAAATTTAAAGGCAGTCATGCCACCAAGAAGGGTGGGATAGGGAGGGTGGGAGGGAGATGCAAGAGGGAGGAGATATGGGGACATATGTATATGTATAGCTGATTCACTTTGTTATACAGCAGAAACTAACACAACATTGTAAAGCAATTATACTCCAATAAAGATGTTAAAAAAAAAAAAGAAAAAAGAAATAAAGGTAGTCATGGGTGGTTTCATTGGTTTTTGAGGCGAGGGCCGCTTCATAGCTTAAAAGTTACTGGACAGAGTGCTCTGGCTGATACTGGAGCTGCTGAAAAGTTCCCAGAAGGTGGCTGTTTACATAAGCAAGTGTTTAACTATGGCAAAGCTGTAGTTTACTGGAAAAAATTGCTGAGCAAGACCTTTCAAGAGAAGAAAAGCAGGCTAAGGGACACAAGGCATCAAAGGAGAGGTTTATCCTAATGCCTACTATTGACACCACTGGTGATGCTGTCCTAAGGCCTCAACTAATGTACCATTCAGAAAATCTGAGGGAACTTAAAGGCACTGATAAGAATACACTTCCTATTATGTTTCATTCACATCCAAGTGGTTGGAATACCCAAGTGATTTTTTTCTGAGTACATGAGTGGATACATTAGCCCTTCTGCTGAAAAATACTGTAGAGAAAATAACCTCCATAATAGGTGTCTTGTGGTTGTCAATAATTGTGCTGCTCATCCACCTGGCATTACCAGGTATAGCAGCAACATTTGTGCTGTGTTCTTACTGCCAAGTATGACATTGTTGCTGCAACTGCGTGGCCAAGGCCTAATAGCCAAATTAAGGCTTACTGTATGTAAAAATGTGATGCATTTTATTATAAGTGCCACTGACAGAGAGGGCAACTCCAGAGCATTATGAGAGATCTGGAAAAAATTAAAACATAAAATTTGCAATTGCTAGACTCACAGATATAGAGAACAAACAAGTGGTTACTAGTGGGGAAAGGGAAGGCGTGAGGGGCAATACAGGGGTAGGGGGAGAAAAAGGTTATTATGGGATTATATGAAATCATGTGTGTGACACTTTTGAAAATTGCAAAGCACTATAGAATACAAAGAATCTTTCATTCAATAAATAAATAAATAAAAATAAAACAAATAAATAAAATTGGCTACTGCTAAATCTGGAGATGCTTTCATTAGGCTAAAAGTCTTGGTGGGAATTGGCATTTGGAAGAGACTGTGTCCTGAAGTAATGAGCAACCTTAAAGGCTTCAAATCAACAATAAATATGGCAACAGTGACTATGGCTAAGGAGGCTGGGTTTGTGGAAGCTGATAAAGATGTTGAAGAGGTTTTAGCATCCCACGACCAAGAACTGACACACCAAGAGCTGATGCAACTGCAAGAGTAAAAGATATAGGTTGAAACTGAACTCAGTAGCAAATAGCCCATGAGTGAAGTCAACCAGAAACTA